ATTTCCAGAGCACAGTTCTTGTACCAAAGTTGTTCTGGTGGGCAGGTAATTTACTTGGTCAGCCATGTACAGTAGAAAGACATGGAAGTTAATATCCCCATACTGTAGATGGATACACTAAGATATCGATTAAGGCTCTCACTACTTGGGGTGACTGAACCAGATGGAACCAGTTTGTGGGAGGGTCATCTTCAAAGTTCTGCTGGGAATACTGATCACACTGGTCTCCCAGCCTGTTGATAAAACATTGCAAATAAGTATTTACAATCCAACACAATTAGGTACTTGCCCATTTTCAATATACCAGATAGGTCTGCTCATGAGAATGCTTCAAAGTTCCACTGTATCTAAATTAGTTTACTTAAAGATGTAATAATTTACACAATTCCATGTTTGAGACTATATTGCCTTTTGAATTTCTGTAGAAGGACCAACTGCAATTGGGAAAGGTAAATATGAACTGATTAAACATTTTAACAGGTTTTTCAGTACAAATATATAAGACTTTAGGTCCTTTCAATAAGCAAAATGAACTAGAGATTTAAAAAATGTAAAAGAGGGGCGCCTGGGTGGCGCAGTTGGTTAAGCGTCCGACTTCAGCCAGGTCACAATCTCGCGGTTCGTGAGTTCGAGCCCCGCGTCAGGCTCTGGGCTGATGGCTCAGAGCCTGGAGCCTGTTTCCGATTCTGTGTCTCCCTCTCTCTCTGCCCCTCCCCTGTTCATGCTCTGTCTCTCTCTGTCCCAAAAATAAATAAACGTTGAAAAAAAAATGTAAAAGAGAAAGATGCCCTTTTGGATAGTTTCATCAGAAAAATCTAAATTTATGTGGGGAAAATGAACCTTTGCTCTCCTATCTCTGAGTAGTATTAATACTATATAATAACTTTTCAGTTAAGATTTTCCAGACAACAGGTTTTGGTAGAGGGTAGTCAAGGTAAACAAAGATACATCCTCCAGCAAAATAAACTTTTTTCCTTCACTAATCAGTGGAAAATGAATGGGGGAAAGCTGAATAACACAAAGGTTTGTGCATACTCTGCCTGTGACTTAGCACTTATATTTGAAGATTTTAACTAAAGGTTAGATGTTCGCAAAACATTCACTTTGCATTTACAGTCAATGTTTCAGGCCATGTTTTTCAAGATTTTTTAAATGTTTATTCATTTTTCAGAGACAGAGAGACAGAGCATGAGGGCAGAGAGGCAGAGAGAGAGGGAGACACAGAATCCAAAGCAGGCTCCAGTCTCTGAGCTGTCAGCACAGAGCCTGACACAGGGCTTGAACTCACAGACCACAAGACAATGACCTGAGCTGAAGTCAGACGCTTCATCGACTGAGCCACCCAAGGGCCCCATGTTTCAGCCCATTTTAAGATGCCAATCAAGACCCAAAAGGAGAGTCAGGAGAAGGTGGTGAAGTAATGAGAGAGGGCTTTAGAGCAGGAGAGCTTTGCCATGGGGCCCACTTTCTTTTCAAAGCTCAGCCCCACTCCCCATTAGCTGTGGCTTTGGACCAGTCCCTCAACCTTGCTGACTTTCAGTCTGCTCCTCTGTGAAACAAGGATGAGGGTGCATCGTTGGTCTGCAGGGCTGTGGGCATGTCTAGGAGACCAGCTGGTCCTATGGTCATCCCAACCCCTGGCCCCGTAACGTCTGGGGTAGCAGGTATCACACAGCGTCTCCTCGAGCCTCACAGACTAACCCCCATACGGTGACTTGAGCAGACTGGAGTTGAGAATTAAGCCTTCGGTATTTGTTTTATTTTAAATGATACCCGTCCTTATGTAGCCATGGCGTCCCCCTCATTTTCTGCATGAGAATCACACTTGAGCATGTCCCCAAACCTCCTTCTCTCTTTAATGAGCCAGAGAACTGATTCTCTCTGGGGGTTCCATGGTGACCCCTCTGATGGCTCTGATTCATTTGACTTAAACCAAATTACAAAGTGAAAGAGATGCAGAAAAATGCAGGAATTCTTGTTCTTTCGAGTTACTTGGCTTCCTCATCTTACTTTCCACTCACACATTTTTGGCTCTTCGTGTAATGGGGTTCTTCTAAAATTGAGAGCGAGGCAAATCAGAAGAGCAGAAAAGTCAAAGCTATGCTGACGAGCGGCTAGGCCACGTCATGTTTAATGTAGACTTGTTTCACAGCACCAATATATAACCAGGGCCGACAGAGATGCAAAATATTGTATTCATATACGTGAAAGAAAAGCAGCTAAGACTGCACATGTAGGCGGGAAAGAGTTACAGCTGGCTAACTTCGCAGACGTTTCATTTTTTTTTTTTTTTAA